TAGAGCTATTCGCAATACCATTTATGACGACAACGACGATGATTCAAATAATGTTTTGCTCATTTAATCAACAAATGAGCAAATAATTAATAAATGAGCGATAATTATTTGCTCATTTGTTGATTAAATGAGCAAATAACCCTGGGTGTGCGGTTCACCCAGGTACATAACACAATTTTTCGCAAAGTACAATTTAATGATTATATACACTACTTTCCATTTAATTATAAATAACTCATTAAATATATACGAAGTATTGAACAACTTGTATTAATATTATCACACCACTAAGGCTATATTTAGTTTACCTTATCACTTATTTCAGACTAGATTAGAAAAAGTAAATTCGGATCAGGAAAAGAAAAAAAGAGTTCTGAACATACTTTATCGTTTTATGTGTAGTTTTTAATTGCTAATTATCTTTAATTTCATAATTAAAAATTATGAAAATTACATATTACTCCCTCGGTCCTTTTATTAAGGACCTATATTCCTTTTTTGGCAAATCAAATTAAAGACCTATTTTTATTTTAAGGTTGTACTTTTTGAGAAAGTTCTCCATTTTTTGAGGAGTTGTCGTCATATTTTTGTACTAATAATGACTTTTTATATCAATTTCTAATACTTTCTCTCTCCCTCTCTTCAATTATTTCCAACCACTTTTTTTTTTTTTTTTTCTTCCCTTTTTCCCTTTTTCCTCTTTCTATCTCTCTCTAACCCCACATGCACTTATGTACTTCCACCAACTTTTTTAATTTCCGTGAAAAAACCCAAATAGGTTCTTAATAAAGAGACGGAGGGAGTAATAAAATGCACATTATTATAAATCCAACAAAGACCCTACTTGGTGTATCCCTTCCTAACTTAGCGTGCACATTAGGTCAATGTTTGATTAAATCATACAATCAAATCAGATAAGAAAAAAAAAATAGTTTATATTAGACCAGATCGAATAAAATAAGTTAACATAAGATCAGATAAAATAAAAATAAGCTGAACTAGTGAGAGCCTTAGTTTACTCCAACCTTTTTATTTTGGAGAAGATTTTGTTCATGTGAGGATGGTAATATGTGCAACCTCATTCCTACAATTTCTGCGTCTTCTGTTCGTCGTTTCTAATCTTGATCTCGTCGTTCTTTATGTGAGGATGCTCTACGACTACTGGTGTTTTTGTTGATATTGTTGCTGACGGTATTCCTTTTGTTGCTTCATCTAGCTTAGGGCTTATTTAGTTCACCTTATTTTAGTGTATCTGAACTCATTTGATCTGATTGTTCGATTTGCCCAAGCTTTGACCTTAATTATACGATAATCTATAAGGTAAAAATATATCAAATAGGGTCTTGTTAGATTCGTAATAATGTGTATTTTATTGCTATGTAATTTTCATAATTTTTTTCATTACGAAATTAAAGATATTTAGTGATAAAAAATTGCACGTAAAACAATGATCTGATTTGAACTTTTTTTTTAAATCTGATCTGATCTTATTTTTTCTGAAATAAGTAGAAATAAGTTGAACTAAACAAGGTCTTAAAGCCTGTTTCAATTTACTGAAAACAATTGAATTGAAACGAATTGTTTATGAGAGAAAGAAATTAGGAACTGAACTGAAATTAAGCTGAACAAAATAGACCGTTAGTCTACCGGTTTCCTTGAGAAAGAGAAACTTTGTTTATCTCACTTGACTTTCTTGTAAACTCTTAATTTTTTTCTTCGTGTTTTTATTTTTATATTAAATAAGCGTATTAGATAATATCACCCATTTAATTATTTGCCACAAATTTTGCAATTCATGAAATTATAGGGCCAAGATCATGAAATATTAACCAATTTGAGTATAGGAGTTACGGAGTAGGAGATAGGCAAATAAAGTAAATCTTAACCCAAAAAAAAATCCTAGTTGTAAAATCAATCAAATGACTAAAAATGCCACTAAATAAAGTAAATCTTTACCCAAAAAAAAATCCTAGTTGTAAAATCAAATGACTAAAAATGCCACTAAATTTAAGTCGTAGTATATCAAAAAAAAAAAAAAAAAAAAGCCAATTGAAGAAAATTTATTCACCATATACGTCGTGTATATATATCCCTCATTGTCTAGTTACCATCTCGTGTCAATGGTCAAAGTCAAGTGAGGATATTTACAGAAGTACTTTTGCTAAGAATGCTAATCTTGTTACTCTTTGATTCAATCCCACTTTAAGTGGACGTTTTAGGAAACTAAGCTTCCCGAAGAAAATAATTACAAATTTGGTTGCGTGGCAAAAGTATTTACAAAAATAAGCTTCTGGGGTAAACCGCTGCCTCGGGCAGCGGTTTACCCTCTATTTTTTTAAAAAAAAAATTATGCTACAAAAACGCTGCCCCAGGCAGCGTTTTTATAGTTTGACTTTTTTTTTCCCTCGTTTATTTTTTTTTTTTAAATTAATTAAAAAAAAAAGGCAACAGCATAAAACGCTGCCCCAGGCAGCGTCTTATGCTTAAACATAAGACGCTGCCCCAGGCAGCGTCTTATCTTGTTAATGAAACGCTGCCCCAGGCAGCGTTTCTGTCTGGTTGTAAAACCAGAAACTCGAGTAGATACCATGGACAGAGAGGTGCATTTGCCCGGACCGCTTGACCCTTCCGTGCTTACACTCCAGGCCACGCACCGGAGCACTGTCGTATGGGATCTATCGGTAACATTTACTTCCTATGCCAACATACTTAAGAATGCTCCTTGAAATTATCGTTTTATACTTACGTTTATGTATTTCATTTGCAGGTTGATCCCGCGAAGCCGCTTGTTTGCAGGCACCACACAGCCAGAGTAATGGTGGGGTGGGCCGTCGAGGCACGCGTCCTAGAGTACATCGAGCTCGCTGGTTTTGGAGGAATTCACCGGATGGCCTTCAGGGCCATCGACCGAGCGCTTGTGACTGCGCTCGCGGAGAGGTGGAGACAAGAGACCCACTCCTTCCACCTTCCTGTAGGGGAGGCGACTGTGACCCTGCGTGACGTCGCGATACTTACGCGGCTTCCTATACACGGGACTCCAGTGACAGGACGCCCGTTAGTCGATCCTGTAGGACTTGTAGTTCGAGTTCTTGGGGTTCAGCCTGCTCCCGAATATATCCGGGGAACTGGGTTGAGGATAGGTTGGCTACGAGAGACCTTTGGCGAGCTTCATCACGGTGCTGATTATTGCAGGCGGCAGACATGGCATCGATGGTTGACGCGCATCGATGGTTGACGCGCTGTCCCTTAGCCTGGCTGACGGGCCCACCGGGAACGAGGTCCAGCGGGTTCGGGATATGGGCATGGCCAGCTTGCGTCGATATGGACACAACTACCTCGTCCCCCAACGGGACACGTATGATGGCCACTCGATGCATTCGCAGTTCGAGCTCGGACAGAGTAGTTGTGGAGGTGATTTTACGACGCCGACATTCTCAGAGGACTACACCTTCCACAGCACTGCGCCGTCCGGCTCCCAAGAGGTGCCAGATACCAGCCAGCTGACTCCCCCGCCGCCTCTAGACCCATTCACCACCATTACTCATTACAGGCGGCGGCGTGTCAGACAGAGGGCCGAGCAACCTGACCTAGATCAATTGCCCCGGATAGATGAATCGGGATAGTGTTAGCTTAGTTATTTCATGTAGTAAAATTTTTGTATAGATTAGGTATATAACATTTACATTTCTAATATAATAAATGTTTTTCGGTCAACATTTGTGTGTTATGTTCTTTGTTTCCCAATATGTTTTGATTTATGTATATATTGACTTGTCAACGGTGGTGGTGGAAGGTAGTGGTGTGAGGTGGAAGGTTGTTGGAGGTGGTGGTGGTGGAAGGTTGTTGGAGGTGGTGGTGGACGGTTGTTGGAAGATGGTTGTGGTGGTGGGAGGTCGGGGTGGAAGGTGGTGGACGGCGGTGGAGGAAGGTGGTGGAAGGCGGTGGAAGGCGGTGGTGGAAGGTGATGGTTGGAGGTGGTGGTGGAAGGTGGTGGAGGTGATGGTTGGAGGTGGTGGAAAGGGGTTGGAGGTGGTGGAAGGTGGTGGTGGTGGTGGAAGGCGGTGGTGGTGGAGGGCGGTAGTGGAAAGGGGTTGGAGGTGGTGGAAGGAGGTTGGGGGTGGTGTTGGAAGGATGTTGAGGGTTGGGGCAAGAAACTGGTTTGGTGCTGCCAACCAGGTAAAACGCTGCCTGGGGCCGCGTTTTACCTGTAAACATATACAGATAAAACGCTGCCCCAGGCAGCGTCTTATGTTCAAGCATAAGACGCTGCCTGGGGCAGCGTTTTATGCTGTTGCCTTTTTTTTTTTAATTAATTTTAAAAAAAAAATAAACGAGGGAAAAAAAAAAGTCAAACTATAAAAACGCTGCCTGGGGCAGCGTTTTTGTAGCAGAATTTTTTTTTTAAAAAAATAGAGGGTAAAACGCTGCCCGACCAGAAGCTTATTTTTGTAAATACTTTTGCCACGCAACCAAATTTGTAATTATTTTCTTCGGGAAGCTTAGTTTCCTAAAACGTCCACTTTAAGTTGCAACTTGCAAGAATAGGTTTGGATTTAGAACTCCTTATCTTAATTTTCCTGAATTAGGCTTATAACGATATCGACTATTACAAAGTTTTGTTTTCATCTTGTTAAAATAAAAAATTAAGGAGTAATCATATTATTATTTTAAATAAATTTTGTTATTCTCTTTTTTTTTTTCTTCCTAAAATTCACTAATTTTTATCAAAATTTACTTATCATTAGACAATTTTTTTTTTCAAAAAAAGTCGAGTAAAACACTACCTTAATTACGTACTCCGTAGCTTACTAACTTATTAAGATAGGGCATAAGATAATTAGAGAAGGTACAATAGTACTAGTAAAGCAGTTAATTTAACATGAGCATCACCCTTTAAACAAGGAAAACCAAACCAAAGGACCAACATTCGCCCCAATGCCACGTGTACGGCTCTTAACCCCCTTTTCTCCTCGAAAGGGGTAATTCCGTAAACTCACTACTCCAAAAAAGTTACCTAAAGATTAGATAGGATTTTGCATTTTTGGTAATGTTTTGGACTTCAAAAAGAGGTGTAAAACACTAAAAACAACACCCCCTTCCATTCCCTCTCTCACTCACTTTCTCTCTCCTCTTTTCTTCCTCACCGTCGTACATGGCTGCATAAACTCCCCCTTCTCTCGCCGGAAACCACCGTCTTAAACCCCTCAATTAACAATTTCCGGCTACAATACTATTACTCCCTTCAAATGGCAGAAAACGACGTCGTTCGATTCCCCGGTAATTTAGACCCTTCTGCTCAAGAGTTCCGCCCCACTTTTATACCCCACCACCACAACTTCCCCTTCTCTCCTCCGCCGCAACAACCACCTTTCTTCCCGGAGTTTCTTTACTCACCTCCTCCGCCGCCGCAACATCCGCCGCTATCATACATGACACCGGCGTTACTCCCGCCGTCAATCCCTCCGCCGGCGTCTACTCCGACGAGAGCGCTCCTTCTGACCGCCGTCCCCCCTGACGTCAGCGAATCAATCGTACGACGTGAGCTAGAGATATTTGGTGACGTAAGAGCCGTTCAGATGGGACGAGTCTCGGAAGGAATTGTGACCGTCCATTTTTATGATCTTAGGGCTGCGCATGCAGCGCTTGACGCCGTACGTGAGCAGCACATGCAGCATCAGAATCGGCTCCGACTCCATTACTCGTCTATTTTGGCGCGAACCAACTCCGGGCCCTTTGTGGGCCCACCTCCGACCCCACCTCCCTCTCCTGGGCTCATCTCGGGCCGGGCCGTCTGGGCCCAGTTCACTATCCCCGCTACCAATGCCTTCCCTGATGGTCAAAATCAGGGCACTCTCGTCGTTTTCAATCTCAACCCCACTGTTTCCGCTCTCACCCTCAAAAACATCTTCCAATCTTTTGGTATGTTAATTTTATTTTATTTCTTATTTAATTTTTTTTTTTTGTGAAATTGGATTGAGTTGAATTATGAATTGAGAAAAAAAAAATGATGGTGCGTAATAAATGTAGGGGCAGTGAAGGAATTGAGGGAGACGCCAATGAAGAGGCAGCAGAGATTCGTGGAGTTCTACGACGTTCGAGATGCATCTAGAGCGTTGGTTGAGATGAATGGCAAAGAAATCAACGGTCGAAGTGTCATGATTGAATTCAGTAGACCTGGTGGACATTCAAACAAGAAATTCAATAATCATCATTTTACTCACCATTTTAATCAATCTCCTAATCTCAATTACCACCAACAACACCTTATCAAACAACCAATTTCTTCTCCGTCACCACCATCGTCTCTTTTTCCTCTCCGTAACCGCCGAACATCCCCTAAACAGAATGTTCGACGGCGGAGAAGCTCACCAATGAGCAGCGAAGAATCACTCGATGTTGCAATGACTGGCCTCACATTGCGAGGCAATGCTGGCAACACTAAACCCAATGCTATTAGGAAAGGAGGCAAGAATGGGAATTGTTCGAGTTCGGGTTCGAGTTTGACTACAAGCACAAAGCAACAACCCCAACAAGGGCAATCGTCCACGGGTGGTTCGAAGGCGAAGCCGTGGAAAGGTAGACAAAAGAACTTTGATCCGAGGTTTCTGATAAAAGAGGAGGCAATTGTTGACGATGAAAGTGGATGTAAAGATACTAGGACCACTATTATGATCAAGAACATTCCCAACAAGTATAGGTAGGTAATACAATATTATTATTATTATTTTCCGATAATAAAATTATATAATTAACATAATATTGATGAATGAATATATATATATATATATATATATATATATATATGGATTTGTGGCAGTCAGAAGCTGGTGTTGAATATGTTAGACAACCACTGTATACACTGCAATGAACAGATTGCAGTTGCTGGAGATAATCAGCCCTTGTCTTCCTACGATTTCGTCTATCTTCCAATCGATTTCAAGTATTATTTTCTTCTTTACTCTTTGGATTTCTAATTATTTTTGTCAGTTTTTAATTAATAAAAAAGGAATTGAAATAAAATAAGAAAATCGAAATGCAGCAACAAATGCAATGTTGGATATGGGTTTGTCAACATGACTTCCCCAGAAGCTACTTTGAGGTTATACAAGTCATTTCATCATCAACATTGGGAAGTTTTCAATTCTCGAAAGATTTGTGAAGTCACTTATGCTCGAGTTCAGGTATTAATCTTTACTCGTTTTTTAAAGTTCTTCCAGTTTAAACCGTAATTTTCTTATAAAGAATGGGAAGGAGGGAGTTTTAATCAATAATCATATATTCTCTTTTTTTGCATTTTTCCTGCGTACAAACAATTTCTGCTCACGTATTGGTGAATAATTGCAATATTTGACTACTACCCATTGGTGCATATAAAAGAGAAAGCCGTAGTTTTTATTCACATTTTTGGTTAATTCATGGTTTTGGTGTGGAGGTAGTACCATTATAAAATTACTTTTCAAAATCTAACAACTGTACAAAAACACGAGCGTGTTATTTTGAAACGGAGGGAATATATCAAACTTAATTATCGCTCATGTGAGAGTATCTTCTTTTTGCTAGCTAATTTTGCCTAATATGGGATTGGTAGTAGTATCAATTGGTCAATTAGATAGCTAATGTTGCTTAATGAGTATTGCTTAAGTACATAAAGAGTGTAAACTGAATTCTTTTGTTGTACTTGTTAGTTCATTTAAAACTATTTAATTTATATTTTTCTTTAGGTATTCACAATTTACTACTCTTTCCAACATCTCAACTTCCCTAGTGTTTCGTGAAAAAATTTCACATTAAAAGGAAAAAACAAAAAAATTAAGAAAAAAGCCAGCATAAAAACATCTTTTTCTACTGTCTTTTTGAAGACAGCGAAATATAGTACATATAATATTAAATTAATTAATTTCCACACTAACACTTATTATTTTTCTAATTTTTTGAAATTGTAAAATTTAATTTTTTTTTAAAACAAGGGTTTGGAAGCACTGAAGGAGCATTTCAAGAACTCAAAATTCGCGTGCGAGAACGACGAGTATCTTCCCGTGGTATTCACCCCGCCTCGAGACGGGCAGAACTTGACCGATCCGCTCCCCATCGTCTTCTCCAACACCGCCGCAACATCCACCCATCAACACCTCAGCACCGACATCGACGCCTCGGATTTCACCTCCACAACAACATCAACATGTACTACTACTACAACTTCCCCAACAACACTCACACACCCTGACGAGCTATATGATCACATCGACAGTGTAGAGCACATCATCCTAAACCCTATCATCACAGAGAGCGATGATGACAACGACAACGATGATGACGAACGTAGTACGTCGTCATCAAACGGCGGCGGAGGAGGTAGTAGCAATAGTAGCATGATGATGATGGGGTGTAGTACAGCTGATTAAAACTCAACCCTGGAATTTAGGTGTAGTTGTCTAATCCAAAAATCTTAGTCACAATATCTTGAGTGAGTTGACTGGATAGAGAAATGGTTGCATGTTTTGCAGTGCACCGCCGCCTCCTATTTCCGCATGCACGCCACCTCCTTTTGCGTTTTTAATAATTTATTAATGTGGTTTTTTTTTTTTTTTTTTTTTTTTTTTTTTTTTTTTTTTTTTTCAGGTGTTGTCTTAATAATTAAGCAAAATCTTGTCTCGTAGTAGTGTTATTGTGTTGTAATTGTGTTAATTTAGGGTAGGTTTTTTTTAGTTATGATGATTTGTCCTAGGAAAAGAAATTAATTTAATTGTAACTTTTGATTAAGGTTTAAAGGTTTATTTATTTTTTAACAAGTATATGATCGATCTCTGTTGTTACTTATAGTCATTCGTGTTTTTGATGATTTATTATATTGATTGCCGTCCTCTAATAAGTTTGTAATAAGTTGATTCTTGGTGTTTATTCATTAATTCGACTGATTTTGCACATTATATTAACGTTTGCCAAATTGGACGCTAATGATGGAGACGGTCCAAATTAGATTATACGCGGCCTTGCCATTATCGGTGAACAACTACGTATCTATTATAACGATTGCCCTCCTTTAATAAGTTTGTAATAAGTTTATTCTTGTTGTTTAGTAATTAAGCCGATTTTGTACATTAAATTAGCGTTTGCCAAATTGGACGCTAATGATAGAGACGGTCCAAATTAGATTACACACGCCCTGGCCATTAATTGTGAACAACTACGTATCGTAGATAATGTGGGATTATTATGTTAAATTAGTGTTTCTAGTGATTAATTAGGGTTGATGAAGATGCTGTGTTTGATAGACTAGGTTTCCATATATAACACGTAGGAATTAAGTTCGCTATAGCTGTAAATTGATGAAATAGAAAGTCAAATGAGGAAGTAGGATATTAATGGAAGAAATTTAGTGTGGAAGTAAAAGTATATTGAATGATATATTTATTTGAAGTACATTGAATCTAACAGTAGGGCCGACCCCTAGCTAGCAAGTGAAGTGAAGGAGAGTAGGAAATAGGGAAATGGTGATCACTATTTGGAAACTATGAAATTTAAGTCGAGATTTGAATTTATGAGTGAAAAGGAATGGGGGAAAATATGATGTTAAATTCCCAAGTCAAAAAACCAGTTTTTCTTTAGATAGATCCAATATGCATTTTCACTTGGAATTTAGGACATTTTGGGGTTATTATAATGGGTTGCTTGGCTAGACGAATTGGAGAGCTAATCAAAACGTTAGATAAGATAATTGAAAGTAGAAATATTAAATTGAAATGAACATTAATCCTGCTGATTGATGCGTGATTTAAATATGTCATTCTCAAATTAATACCATTTTATAAAATATTTTAAATGTTTAACGCCCCGAGGGTACTTGTTAGCAAAATCCATTATGTATATTGTTTGAACTTAATTTTGTGCCATCTGAATTTAATTTGCTACTTCCTCCGTCATTTTTCTACGGTTACGTTTGATTTTTTACACGGGTATTAAGAAAGAAATTTAGGATTATTTAAAATGGAAATATTTATTTCGGAAGTAGATGAATATTTTGGTAAATGAAAATATTTGTTTTGGAAACATGTAAATATTTCGGTAAAGAGAATAGTTGCATTGAAAGTGTGAAATATGGGGAATGGGGGTAAATGTGTAAATTAAGTATGTTTTTTTAGGAAAGTTTGGAAATGTATTCATAAAAACAAGACTCCCAAAATGTACTATAAAAATAGTACTATGTTGTTTTAGGAAAGTTAGAAATGTATTCATAAAATCTATAATAAAGTATAGTTTTTTGGAGGGAAATTTCCCACCTAATTAAACTCTTTTAATGAATTTTATTATTTATTTATTTATTTTTATTAGGATCTTGTTAAAGATATCCCTTTAAAATAATTTCTAAAATGGTATTAATTAAAAATGCATTTCAAAATTACGCGTCGATTGGTGTAATTAATGTTTATTTCAAGTTAATATTTCTACTTTTAGTTATCTTATCCAATGAACGCCCTGCCCTTTTGCCTTTTAATAATTGATTATTGAATTACATTTTCCTAAAAACTTCTATAATTCAATTGACATTTATAATAAAAACTGAGCATAACTCAGGTTTTATCTAATAAGGTAGAAAATTTGAATGAGTGAACTTTTTGGAACCTAATATAATTAATCTAAAATTTTATTGTTTGAAAAACCAAACTAATTCGCGGAGATCACATCATGTCGCTTGCAAGTTTATCTAAAATTATATTAGTAGTTAGTAGTGTTTCTTTAATGAGTATTAGTTAAAAATTGATAGAGTATGTAAATCGATCAAGGGATTCAACCACTAGGTTTAGCTTTTGTTGACTTTTCATTGCCTTTTAACATGGTATTAAGAGTAAAAGTGATCATGAGTTCGAATCTCATTCACCCCTCCTTTCAAAATTAGATATTAGACACTAGTAAGGGGGGGCAGACTACATCTATACACACTTCAAGCCCCATATGTTCTCATATGAGGGGTCATGATAGAATGTATAAATTGATTATGAAATTCAACCATCAGCTTAATTTTTTTGTTGAGTTAGTCATTTAATAAAATTATGATTAAAGTTTGCGTACTTTAAATGTGAATCATAATGTAAAAAGTTAAATATATTCCCCTCTCTCTCTCTTCTCTCTCTCTCTCATTTTAGTAAATATCAGCTAAATAGTTCATTAAAAGAAATCATCATAATTGAGAGTGCACTACTTTCATTCATTCTCTTTATTTTGTTTTAAGGGCATGTTTGATTTGACGTAAAACGTGTTCATGTAAAATGTTTTTTTGATTTTCCTCTATTTGAATTGTACGTGATAAGGTGGAAAACAATTTTGTCCAATGGTGAAAATTTACACTCTCAAGGTTCAAATTATGCCTTACTCATGAAACACAAAAAATACTCACATGGTGCCTCTAAAAAAATGATAAAATACTCAATTAACTTTCGAAATGTTATCTTATTTTTTCCACTACACATAATCCATTTTGCTTGTTTTTTGTGATTCATGGGTAAAGCATAATTTAGCCATGTAAGATCTAATTTAATTTGTCTCAATGGTTATATTGTTAATTTTAATAATTTGACAAATTATATATTACCTTCATTTTATATTACTATAAAAATTGATTGCTACCTAGGATGCACGGACACTTCGTCCAACAGCCGTGTCCGTGTCCGACACCGTGTCGGACATCGACACTCGTTCGAAACACATAAAAACTGCATCAGGTTTTTTAATATATTTAGACACTTTGAGACGAATCGTATCCTACTATGATACAATCCAGTTGGCATTTTGATATGTCACCTCACTTTTTTTACTATTTTAATTAGAAAGTTAAGATAAAGTATGAGAGGAAAAGGTAAGAGTTATAATACCAGTGCCTTCAAAACACATTATTATATGTGAATTAGGAGAATATTATTTAGCTACGGTAAATGACTTATTTTAAGGTTAATTATTTAGTGTTTTGTTGAATAGGTTGTCAAAATCTCATTTGATATATTATTTGTCGTAACCGTGTCCCCTATTTTAGGATTGTCGTTTTTCCGTGTCCGTATCATACCCGTGTCCATGTCCGTGTCGGTGCAACCTAGATTGCTACACATTATGTACACTAAATGTTTTTTTTTTCTCTTTTTTTTTTTTTTTTTTTTTTTGTCAATTCTCTCCATCTCCTCTTATCACATATATTTTCTTTTCATTTAACACTCATAAACAAATTTTACTTAAAGAGTCCAATTTAAGTTATTTATTACACATAACATAAAACAAAGTTGTTATCAATGATTATAAAAATATTTTGTCAAGCTTCATAAAAAAAATAGGTCATGTAAACAAGAATAAGCATAGAAAAGTGACGGTAGCAATAGATCGAAATCCAAAGCATAAAAAACGCAAAGAGGGTAAAATCTTAAATGTGCGTTGGAAACAGTTGAAGAATCTAGAATGAATAGTAAAAAGGATTTTATATAGAATATCTATTTGAGAAGGAGAGTAGTTTCTAATCATTTAATTTGGATAAATAGATTAATAAAAACAGAAGTTGAAACATTCGAAAAGACAGAAAGACAGTTGATAGTAGTAGGCTAGGTAAAGGTAAAGGGGTGTTACAGAAAAACAAAGAAGCTAAGACTTAGCCAACCTAAAGTGACCTTTCTTTGGCGCACAAATGGCTTGCCTATCCATATTTCAAGCGCACTGCCTCCTCCTTATTTCTCTCCTTCCACCTCTTCGCTTTCACCTTTTTCTTCTTCTTCTTCTTGGTTTTTGTCTAGGAATTTCTTCACAACTTGCATCTCCTTTTATTGTCCTTATATTATTGTTAATTCCCACATGCATTATTGTCATCTGTCGTATTTGTTTTCCATCGACTAGTTTAGTTGGTTAAATATTACTCCCTCCGTCTTAATATATAGTTTTTGTTTGTGTTTTTTCACGGTGTTTAAGAAATTGGAGGAAAAAGTAGATGAATTACTTAAAAAAAAGTGAAAAGTACAATTATAGACAAAATTGAGAGAGAGGAAAGTGTATGAAATACATAAAAAAAAGGTGAAAAGTACAATTATTAACAAAAGTTAGAGAGAAAAAGTGGAAAAAAGTACAAAGTAAGTGGTAAATTCAAGGATAATTTTAAAAGTACAATGAATAAAGTTAAAAAAATAAAGGTATAATGGTCTTTACATACTATCCATAACTAGAAATAGAAACAACATTTTGGTTCTCCAAAATAGGAAAGCAGGAATTATAATATGAGACGGATCGAGTATGATTTGAGGTTGAATATTGAGTTTGCCCTATCCGGTTCACCGGAGCTTAGCTTCAACTACATACGAATACGACTCGAGTTGTACACCTGATTTATGGTGGGTGAGTTTCCCAACAAGATTTTTCTCCGTTCGGTGAGGCTCGATTTTGAAACCACCCTTAAACGACATCAAGCTGTTTACAACTTGAGCCAACTCTTTTTGGTGGGGTTGAATATTATTTGTAATAATATCATGATTCCACACAAAATTAAACATATAGCGACATAGTGTATAACTGAGTTTAAAACACGAAGCAAGAGTACCTGTGTCCGACCAAAACCAACATGCGTTTGTTAGTATCTCACATTGAAAAAAAAATATAGAATTAAACATTTTATAAGGCTAAGGGGCTCTTGTTGCCATATGATTTTGTGATGAATTTTTTTTATTTTGTAAAGTGGATTCTCTCTCTTGGTGACGGGTGCAGCCTATACCAGTATTTAATAAATTGTGTTGACCTAATGGTTATATTATGACCTTTTTTGCATTGCAATTTTTTTTTGGACATTTGAACACGAATTATGTATTAGGATGACATGGTCTGTTTTCCTTTTGGATGTAACTCGTCAACTTTTTTTTTATTCTCTACGGAGTATTTGTATAGGATTTTTTCTAATTTGTACTATATTATTATTAATGGTAAGGAGAAAACCATGAATAAACTTCAACCCACACGGTTTTTTTGGTTTAAAATATTTGCAAGTCAGACACTCTGA